ATTGGGTACACGTTGTTTATGTACTCATACTACACTTCTGTACTTAATTGTACATGATCTGAGGCAGGTGCATCTAGTTGCCCGTCCAGCGCGCTTAGTTGATCCCCACCTCGAGACTTCAAAGTGACCTGCTTTCCGAGCCGTTTTGCAGTAGTTGGAGTCTCCCTTATGTTTTACTTTTCTGTTTATTTCCTTTCAGATAGTAGGCTAGCATTCTTTTGTATATTCTACTAGATTTCCACACACTTGTGAGGCCAGGTCTTGGCACACACCCTAGTAGACTTACGATTTCGGATTTGCTTATATGATTCCGAATTGTACTTATTGCTTCCGCTTATTTATGTTACACTTGTAAATTTCTAAATCTTTTAAACAAATAAGGAAATGTTACTACTTAATAATAATTTAAATGGAAAACCACTAGTTTGATCAGTGTTGGCTTGCCTGACAACGGTGTCGGGCGCCATCACGACCTGCAATAGATATTTGGTCGTGACAGTAATAGTGTAGACAATTAATTGCATCGAGAAAGTAAAATCAAGACGGGAAAATATCGCAACAATCGTAGTATTTGATTTCAAATAATATGAGTGTACAATCTCTATGAATCCTCTTATTCTTCTTTTCAATAGTAAATAAATTCAAGGGTCCTTGAGCTTGATCTTGAATCTATATTTGTTGCCGCGGACGATGATCTTGGATTCAATTACCACGAACTTTGATTCGAACTTGTACTCCTTGAATCTTGATTTGTTCTTCGTTCTTGAGCTTGAACTTGATTTGTTCTTCGTTCTTGAGCTTGAACTTGATTTGTTCTTCGTTTTTGAGCTTGAACTTGATTTCTTGAACTTGATCTTGATTGCTTGAAGCTTGAAACTTGTAGAGAAATTTGCGGCGTTTGATCCACGAGCTCTCTCTTGCTTCTTATTATAACTTCTGGTTTCTTTTCTGGGTTATGAAGACCCCTATTTATAGTTGTGGGAGGGAAGAGTTATGATAAGAACAAACTCTTTCCGACCAATCAAATTGAAGTGTGACAAGGCCGCATTTGATTGGCCAGAACATGTCACTTGTACACGTGGAGCGGTTTCATTGGTCTTTTAATGTGATTTGGCATGCCTTGTCATTTTGACATGTGGCATGATCCCATTGGCTCTTCCGTTTGACTTAGCGTGCAATGTCATATGACACGTACATCAAACTGGGCCTCTAGGAATATGATATCTTGGGCTTAATGAAGTGGGATCATCACTTTAGCCCAATTAAATGGGCTAGCCCAATGGATTAAGACTTATTTATTTAATCCATATATGTTGGACTTATATAAATAATCCAATTATATTAGCCCAATAAATTTATTTGAACTAATATATCTTGAATTTAAAATACAGTCCAAATTATTTTACGGATTTAATTCCAATAAATTTTAAAGGAATTTTTACATTCCTATACCACATAAAAAACTTTTTTACCCTACATGTTTAAGGTTTGAGTAAATTACACTTAGTATACCAAATTACCAATCCTATTCCATACTTAATTAAGGGTCTAATTAATGGGCAGTTTTTACTCCTTAATTAAAGGTATCCATATATCCCACGTTTCTCTCTCCTAACCCTCGCCTCACCCACGTTTTTACCCATACCCGACATTCTTTTTACCATTTTCCCTCTTCTGAAACCAAACAAAATTCCATATCGATTGTGTTCTGCTTTTTCACATCACTGATGAATACTCAACATTTTAAAAGATAACGGAGAGCCATTATGTCTTTTGGAAAAGTCAAAAATGAAAATAAGGCTTTTAATTTTACCGGATCTCATAATGCCTAAAAATACAGAATGTTCATTTCCGGACATACAAGGATGAAGCGACTTTGGCTAGTGATCATGCACGAAAGAGAGAAATGGAAGCTCTTAATCATCTCTGTGTGAATCATGTTGGTCGGCAACTTTATTCTTTAGTGTTGCCTTTCAGTGAAATTCCACTCTCTTCTCTCTAATAGTTGCTCTGTCAGGTCGTAGGTACATGGAACTTTGGAATAAGAATGATGAGTTCAGAAAGGAAACAAAAATTAAGGATAATCCCCTACCCCTTCTTCTGACTTTGATTCAAAGATTCAACTTTTAAATACCAAGCTTCACCTTGAAACCTTAAATTGACTTGTAGTTTTTTTGAAGAAATTTTGTAAATGAAGAGAAACTTTTGTAGTCAACATTTTTTTCCAACATAAATTGTAGTTTAATTGTAGTATAAATATAGTAATTTTGTAGATACTATTAAAAACAATACAGCTTTATACAATACTTAAACTGATTTGTAGTTTTTTTGAAGAAATTTTGCATTCTCATCTACCACAATGGCATTAAATTCAAAATCTCTAAATCTGCCATAGTTATCCCAATTCCCATTAAATTGTAGCATGATTGCGATTTGGACATGATTTCTTGTTGTTGTTGTTGATGTTTTTTTGGATTTCTATATTGAGAGAAGAAAATATGAAGAACAGATATATATGAGCGACAATTTGAGAGAAGAAACGACGAAGAACAGATTTTATCAACTTTGAGTTGTTGAAACTCGAAAATTTGAATTCTACAATTTGAATTCAGTTCGTCGAATCTGTTAGTAGTTGAATCTGTTCGTAATTTTTATTTGTGAAAACCTAGCAAACTTAGTTTTATTTTATTTTATTATAATATTCTTTTTGAGCTATGTGGGGGATTGTTGAGACAAAAATAGTTTCATATCTCAAAAAGAATTGTTTAAATTATGTCTAAGTTTATTCTCTTAAAATAATATTAATTGGTCTTAATACAAAATGTAACTGATGGCATAATTTTCAATTACAAATTTAAAAAAATTTAAAATTGATGTTTGAAGGCAATATGTTTTTAATGCTTGGTATTTGATAGCTTTCAAGATTCAATGTTATGGACTTAAAAGTTTTAACGGATTAGCATCCTTAATGGATTTTACTGTTTCTTAAGAATCTGATAGCCTTAATGGCTTTTGTTAGTGTTTTGATCCTTTCTTATACATTGTTTTTGTTTTTTAACGTATGGTAATTGAAAAGCCTTTATGGCTCGGAGGTTTCTTTCATTTCAGATCTTGGTATTGAATTCTTAAAGTTTTTTTTATTGATTTCTTAGCATTGAATTCTCAAAGTATTTACCGTTTCTTCATTTCAGATGTCCNATCATGAGTGGAGTAATTGGAAATTAATTTTCCTAAACTAGCATGCATGTTTTCCTTAAATTCATAGTCCTAGCAAGGATCGGAGACCATTAACTACGTCTATAAAAGCCTCAAATCGGATCCTCATTCACTCAAATCATTAATATTCAGATTCAGAGTTTAATTCTTTGTTAGCAATATATAGCATTGAAATATATACAAAAATTTACTACCAATTATATGGCTTTATTCAGAAAGGCAATGATGTTTTTGTTGGTGGTTATAATGACTATCATAGGATCAACTATGGCTGAGGTGTATGAAGTTGGTGATTCTGCAGGATGGGATTTCAACGTTGACCGATGGGACTCCGAAAGCACATTTAGCTGGATTCAACTTCAGATCATACTTGCGCAACCGTTCAAAGAACTTTCTCAAATCTCGAACATGATCATTCTGAGTTCGTGACTTAACAATTACATCATCCACATATACCTCTATTTCTTGATGCATCATATCGTGGAAGATGGTGGTCATGGCTCTCATGTACGTTGCCCCAGCGTTCTTTAGCCCAACGGCATGACTCGGTAACAATAGGTTCCCCATGGTGTGGTGAAAGTCTGTTTTCTCGGCTATCCTCTTCATCCATCAACA